CCACATCTCGAAGAACAACAGTTACAAGAAGGTGAGTAACCATTTTTTCTTCTTCGAGTGATTGTTCATGTCCATTCCAAGCAGGTGACTCACAAGCCCGAATCTAGGTGGTGGGATCGGAGGTCACTGCAGACTGGAGTACTGCATGGCCAAAGGCAGCATCATCTCTGGCCTAGTGCGTAGTGCACTGTAAAGGTGTGGATTGAGGACCAGGTGGCCGCTCTACAAATTTCCTGCGTCGGGACCTGAACCAGGAACGCAGCGGAAGAGGCCTGCGCTCTTGTGGAGTGGGCCGTGATAGGCAGGGCTGGTATATTGGCCCGACTGTAGCACTCCCGGATGCAGGTTCTGATCCAAGCCGAGATTCACTGTGACAAGACCGGGAGCACTTTCATCCTGTCGGCCACGGCGACAAAAAGTTGGGTTGATTTCCTGAAGGATCTTGTCCTTTCAATATAGAACGCGAGAGCCCTGCGAACGTCCAGGGAATGCAGCCTACGCTCCTTCGCAGAGGAGTGCGGTTTCAGATAAAACACTGGGAGAAAAATGTCTTGACCCATGTGAAATGGGGAAACCACTTTAGGGAGGAACGCTGGGTGCGGCCTGAGTTGGACCTTGTCCTCGTGGAAGATGGTGTATGGAGGTTCAGATGTTAGAGCTCTGAGTTCCGACACTCTCCGGGCTGATGTGATAGCCACCAAGAACGCGACCTTATATGAAAGATATAACAGCGAACACGAAGCCAGCGGCTCGAAGGGGGGGCCTGTGAGGACGGACAGGACTAAATTGAGGTCCCAAGCAGGGATGGGTTGACGAATGTGCAGGAACAACCTGTCAAGGCCCTTGAGGAAGCGACCAACAAGCGTTTTTGCAAACACTGAAGTACCCCCCGCTCCAGGGTGGAACGCTGAGACGGCAGCAAGGTGTACTCGAACCGAAGAGAGAGTCAGTCCCAGGTGTCTGAGATATAGTAAATAGTCCAGGATAAGGGGGATCGGGGAGAGCATGACCCCGTTGTGTGGCCCAAAGCGAGAAGCGCTTCCACTTGGCCGAGTACGTGGTCCTTGTTGAAGGCTTCCTGCTGCCAAGAAGGACCTGCCTGACCTGATGAGAGCATTGCATCTCCACGGGGTTTAGCCATGGAGCATCCAGGCTGTAAGGTGGAGTGACTCCAGGTTCGGGTGAAGGAGGTGACCGTGATCCTGTGTGATCAAGTCTGGTAGCAGGGACAACCTGAGGGGCACCCGCATAGACATGTGCAGGAGAGACGTGTACCAGTGCTGGCGCGGCCACGCAGGCGCTATCAGGATGAGCCAAGCATGATCTCTGCGGGCCTTGAGGATTACTCTGTGAAACATGGGAATCGGGGGGAAAGGCGTAAAATAGCCCGTCTGCCCAAGAGAGGAGAAAGGCATCCGTTAGAGACCCCGGACTGCGTCCCATGAGGAAGCAGAATTGACGACACTTCATGTTCTCGGTGGAGGCAAACAGGTCCACCTGGGGATGACCCCAGAGCCGGAAAATTGAGAGTACTATATCCCAGCGGATAGACCACTTGTGACCCTGGAACGAGCGGCTGAGGGCGTCCGCAAGCCCGTTGTGCGTCCCCGGGAGGTAGGATGCTGTCAGGTGAATTACGTTCTTTACGCAAAAGTCCCATAACGCGAGGGCCTCCCGGCACAGGGGAGAGGAGCGAGCACCACCCTGTTTGTTGATATAGAACATCACTGGAGTGTTGTCCGTGAGGACCGAAACGCACCTGCCTGCCAGCTGGGATTTGAAGGCTATGCATGCGAGGCGCACTGCTCGTAATTCCCTGACATTGATGTGCAATGAAAGATCCTCTCGTGACCAAAGGCCTTGGGTTCTGAGGCCGCCCAGATGTGCACCCAATCCCCGATCCGATGCATCTATTACCAGGGATAGGGAGGGCTCGGGGTCAAGGAAAGGCACTCCCGTGCGGACCTCCCGCGGTCGAGCCGCCATTGAAGGGAGTCCAACACCGGCCGAGGTAACGTCACCACTAATTCTAGGGAGTCCCTGACTGGCCGATAAACCCCTGCCAACCAGGACTGGAGTGGGCGCAGTCTGAGTCTGGCGTGTCTCACCACGTAGATACATGCCGCCATGTGCCCTAGTAATTTGAGGCAGTTTCTTGCTGTGGTGGTCAGGTAACGTTGGAGGCCGAGGATAATGTTGAACATAGTCTGGAATCTGGCCTCTGGGAGCTATGCCCTGGCGTGTGTCGAGTCCAGAACTGCCCCTATGAATTCGATTTTTGGGGTTGGAGATAGTGTGGACTTGGCCTCGTTGAGTAAGAGGCCGAGCTCGAGGAAGGTCTGCCTGGTAAAGACCACCTGAGCCTCCACCTGCGCCTTGGTCCTGCCCTTGATGAGCCAATCGTCCAGGTAGGGAAATACCTGAATCCCCTGCCTGCACAGGAAGGCTGCCACGACTGCCATGCACTTCGTGAAGACCCTTGGGGCTGCTGACAGACCAAAGGGCAGAACCGTAAATTGTAGATAAGCATTGCCCACGAGAAACCTGAGGTAACGCCTGTGCTGAGGGATTATTGCAATGTGAAAGTATGTGTCCTTTAAGTCGAGGGCGGCATACCAGTCTCCTGGATCCATGGAAGGAATGATGGAGGACAGGGAGACCATGCGGAACTTGAGCTTCTTTACAAACTTGTTGAGCCGCCGCAAGTCCAGAATAGGTCTGAGGCCCCCTTTCGCTTTCGGTATTAGGAAATAGTGAGAGTAGAAGCCCCTGCCCCGTAGCTCCTGAGGAACCTCCTCTACTGCCCCGGACGCAAGGAGGAACTGAACTTCTTGAAGGAGAAGTTGCTCGTGAGAGAGGTCCCTGAAGAGGGACAGGGAGGGGGGCTGGTGGGGCGGGAGGGAGAACTGGATAGAATATCCCCTCTCTACCGTGCGAAGCACCCAAGCGTCCGATGTGATCCGGGCCCATGCACGATAGAAGGGGGACAGACGTGACGAGAAGGTAAGGTTGGACGGATCCAGGGTTCTGACTGGGAGGTCGTCCTCGACCAAGCCATCAAAATGGTGATCTAGACCCCTGTGTAGGCCTTGGTTGGGCAGATGACTGGCCGAAGGGCGGCGGTTGTTGCCTTCTCCTGCCCGTCCTTGCCCTTCTGCGCAAGGCATCCCCTCAATTTTGAGGCTGGTACGGCCGTGGGGCCTGTGGTGGCCTGAACTGCCTATGCTGGGTGACCGGGGTGTGTAGGCCCAATGAACGGTGGGTGGTCCGTCAATCCTTTAGGCTATGAAGCCTCTTATCAGTCTTCTCTGAGAAAAGCGTGGGCCCTTCGAAGGGGAGGTCTTGGATCGTTTGTTGGACCTCATGAGGGAGGCCGGAAACTTGAAGCCAGGCGCCGCGCCTCATGACCAGACTAGTCGCCAACGTGCGTGAGGCTGAAGCGGCCTCGTCCAAGGCCGCCTGGAGGGAAGCCTGGGTAATCAATCTCCCCTCTTCAACCAGGGCTGAAAACTCGGTTCGCGTCTCCTGTGGAAGGAGGTCCGCGAACCTAGACAAAGCCGAGCACGTGTTATGTCCATACCGGCTCACTATGGCTTGCTGATTGGCAATGCGCAACTGCAGGCCCCCTGTTGAATATACCTTGCTCCCGAACAGGTCCAACTTTTTGGCCTCTCTATTTTTGGGGGTAGCTCTCTGAAACCCTTGGCGTTCCCTCTGGTTGGCCGCATCTACCACTAGGGAGTCCGGGGGAGGGTATGTATAAAGATGTTCATAGCCCTTGGATGGAACAAAATATCGCCTCTCAGTCCTTTTAGCCGTAGGGGCCAATGAGGCTGGAGTTTGCCACAAGGTGTGGGTTGTGTCCGTAATGGTCTTTATGAGAGGTAGGGCTACCCTGGACGGGCCCGACGGGGTCAGGATGTCCACCACCGGATCTGTATCCACCTCAATCTCCTCAGTCTGGATCGAGAGGCTTTGGGCTACTCGAGTAAGCAGCTGTTGGAGGACTCTATTGTCCTCTAGGGCCGGTGCCGCTGAAGTTCCCGCTACTGCCTCATCCGGAGACGAGGAGGAAGAGATCCCCTGAAGAGGGCCTTCATCTACCCCCTCTCCCGCTACAAGGGCCTGCGGCACACGGTACTCAGGCTGCGCGGCGGTGCGGGCTCAGGATGTGGCACCGCGGCCATTACCGGGGTCGATACCGAGCGACGAGGCGTGCTGGTCGGTGCTTGCAGCGTTGGGAGCAAGGTCCCTGTCGGTGCCGTTGTTTGGCTGGGCGGTGCCGTGTCCCTTTGTGGCACACTCCTGTCAGACGGCGGTGCCAGTGGTGGTGGCATTAGCGGCAGGGCCGCCAACGTCGAACAGACAGATGCGGCTCGTGAGCGGGGTCCATACGCCTGACCCACTGACTGGTGGTAGGCCCACAGCGTCCAGAACAGCCACTGGGGGGGCGGTTGCCACTGCTGCTGCCATTGCGGTGGGTACGGTTGGGTACTCGTATGCGACGATGATTGCCTACTCCTCGATCTGTTAGAGCGGTACGAGTCCACCTCCGAGTCCGAAGTCTCTGAGTAGGACGACATAGGAGGCGCGGTACCCACTGTCGCCGGAAAGGGTGCTGTCTGCACCGTTGCCGCTAGAGTGGCGCGGTGCGGGGAGCGCGGCGAGAGCATTGCCGGTTTGCCCCTAGATTGATAATGGGGGTCGAGCGGTAGCCGGAGGTTCTCTGCACCGGTGCGGCGACGCCGGCACCGGGAGGCTCAAGAGGTCTGAGGTGGCCTCGAACGCCTCCGGCGTCGATGGGAGGCGCACTTCCTCCATCATATCCGGGGATCTAGGCCTGTCCGGACTCAACCGTACCCTCTCCGAGGCGGGAGTCAACGGGATGGCCGAATGGGTCTGCGGCGCGGACTGTCCTGTAGCACTCGTGGACGGCACCGGCCCCTTAGAGTCCCGGTGGGGGGAGTGTTCCCTCACAGGTCTCTTCTTTTTAACCAGCACTGGCGATGGGGAACGATGTCTCATCGAGGCTGGTTTCTTGTGTGCTGACGCTCTCCGGTGCCGGAGTTTGGGGGCCTTGGCCTCATGATTTATCGCCGGTGCCGGGGCACTGCGCACCGAGGATGAAGTGCTGGGTGCCGGCTCGGTAGGCCCGGGATTTGATTGCAGCCGCAGGGCCGCCTCCATTAGGAGGACTTTAAGTCTCTGCTCTCTATCTTTGAGAGTCCTGGGGCGACAAACCCTGCAGATACTGCACCTATCTCTTTGGTGGCTCTCCACTACGCACCTGAAGCACGAAGAGTGCAGGTCACTCTTCGGCATGAATTTCCCGCAGTCCCGGCAGAATTTGAACCCTGGGGACGCGGGCATGCCCCAGCGGGGCGACGAAAACTTGGGGAAAACCCTCCCAACTACTATCTAACTAAGTTAACAGTAAACAACAAACTAACTATTTACAACAACGACGGAACACTGCCACGATTGCTGAAGAGCAAGCGAAGTTCCAGCTAGCCGTCATCGGCGGTAAGAAGGAACTGAGGGGGTGGAGGGTCGGCTGGCCCCTATATACAGCGCCATGAAGGCACCACTCCAGGGGGCGCCGAAGCCGACCCTACGGACGCTGCTATACTAAAATCTTCCAGCTGGCATGCACACGGCGCGCACACACCTGCTTGGAATGGACAGGAATAATCACTCGAAGAAGAACAAATAATTTCAGTGACCAGCGTAGACGGATTTCAAGCAGAAAGGAAATCTTGATTTAAATAATCAATTTTAATCTTGTCTTGCATTTGTACTTTTTAGTTATTTTCCTAAAAAAAAGTTGATTTTTCATTTGGTGGCGGTAACCATTAAAAAGTATTCATTTGCAACTAAATTCAATTTTTAGGCTAAATTTGGTGCTTCTTTTTGCTAATCAAGAGGATATAATATATCTACAAACATTTATTTAAGCTTAAATTTACCTTCATTCAGATTCTTAATTTGTACATTTATTGTTTTAGAAATTAGTGAATGATGCATTTCTGATTTACTAGATGAATATTAATTTTTTTACTTGTGATGTATCACGTTGTATGTGGATGAAAATCCAAATTTAATTAAATGCACAGAAACAGTGTTTAAATTTTTTTTTAATTTACTAAATAAAACTACCTTAACTGTGCTGGATACATTAAAAAAAGGTTCATCAAAACATTTTGCATTTTAAACTAACTGATTTATTGAAATATTATCTTTAGTGAATGAACTGAACTGATGGTGACCAGAATGTCCTTCAAGATTTTAGAACTAGTAGACTTCATTCTCTCACATCTAGTTTTTATTCATAGACCTAAAGAGGAAAACCTTACTGCTATTTCAACTCCCACTGGTTTCTGAACTTTGAATGAGCTAGTCATTGAACTGAACTGGTTGAATAAACTGAAATGCAGAAAATATTCTTTGCACCTGCAGAAGAGGCGACTGCTGTCAAACACTGGTTCTATATGTTTTCCACCAGTTAAGTGGTTTGACTTAAAAAAAAAAAAAAAATTTAGCAGAAAACACATACTGCTTAATTTTCTTTAAAATTTAAATTAAAATTATTTTAGTAGGCCTTAACATAGGCAATCATGATTTCAAATATAATTTTAATAGGTGTTTTTAATTAATCTATATTTAATTTAAATTACAAATCATTTTAATCATCAGTTTCATCCACCTGGGCAGTAGCTAGTTCTATGTGAACAACTAACAAGAAAACATTTTATTCTACTAAGTAATGTATTCATATTCTCAGCAAACTCAATTCTAAACTGATGAGCATTATTGCAGAAGAACTCAAACTTTGAAATACAATATGACATTTATGATTTCTGATGTGTAAGATTTCATAATAGACCATTTGATTATGGAGTTTTATTATTTATTAAAATTTTAAAGTCAGTAAAACAATGCAACAGTAACAGTTAGGTTAACAATATTTTTAGAGTTACAGTTTGACTCTGCCCCCAGTTGCAAGTAAAAGTTGATCATTTTTCAAAAGGCTAAACTTTTAAAAGCAGTTTCTATATAAGAGGAGTTCAAATACATCATCTGTTGCATCTTATATGCATGTTCTCTCAGGTTGCTTCGATCAGGATCTAGACTAAAATTTAAAATATTAAAACTTGCTTGCAGCATCAGATCAAGGGGTCCACTGCTGTGGTAGCAGGGTATGCTCAATGCCTAGGGGGAGGCGGCATGAATTTGCAAAGCTGACTATCAGCACTGAAAATATGAGGCCTTTAGCCTAAAGACTGACATACCATCATCATCCACAAAGAGCTTGGCTATAACAATGCTGCCAACCACATGGAAATTTTAAAAAAAGTTGAACCTTTACTAAAGTTTAGATTCAGGAAGTGACACAGAAATAAAATTGTTCAGATTTAACACTAAAATGTTTCTATAGTCTAAGACATACAAAGATGTCAAAATCCAAAATTTAGTACATTTAGCAAAAAAAAAAAAAAAAAATACAAATTGGCTGAGTTTCCAGGTTAAAAATCAAGCCCACCGTGTTTTTTCTACTAATGAATGTGACGTTGTAGTTTGGCGTACAGTGCCATGAAAGCAGCATGTAGGTTAATAAATAAGAAAATATTAGTACTATAAGTAATCGTGAGACATACCTTTTCAATTTGCTTTTGTTTACTGAGTTCTTTCTGTTGTTTCTCTTTTACTTTGTCTATTTCTTTTTGTTTTTCTGATGCTCTACGATCCTAAAGAGGTAAAGATATAATAAGGCTAATCTTTGTAAATTGGGATATATAAAACACTGCCACTTTGTAGGAGTTTCCTTAAGATAGTTATATCAGTGTTTGATTTAATGAAGTATGTGTACCATTATTCTTACCTTAAATGACTTATCTCTGCTGAAATGAACAAAAAAAATGTATCTGCAATACCCTTTTTCTAATCAGTCTTAGTATGAAACCTATTAAATCTTTATCACTTATTGACAAGTTTAAATATCACCTAGATACTATGCAATAGACTCTGTAGAAATTCTTAATCTGCAGATTGCTGCGAGACACATAGTGCTATTATCTATATACTTAGCATGCTGCATTTTGCATGTACACACCCACACACACCTTTTTTCCCCTACTTAAGAATCTTACCAATTCTGCATGAAAAGCAATCTGTTTTGCCAGTCCAACAGAGTCGCAAATCTAAATATAAACAAATTGAATATTCAGAAAGTATGAAAAAAAAATATTCCTTTAAAATTAAGAAAAATTCCCACAACTTCAGAAAGACTTTGTGTATTAAAGCACTTTCAGATCCTAGGACTGACAGCCTAACTTTTTTTAAAACATAAAAACAAACAAACAAACAAACAAAAAACCCCACTTCAAAAATTTCTTCATACAACTTGAATGAGAACTAAGACTTTGAAATCCACTTCAGATTTGAAACAAGATAAAAGTGTAAATAACATGGTAATACCTTTTCCCCTTCATTGTTTGATTCAAATATATAACAGACAGATGTTGTATGGCTCTCAGCTCTCCCTCCTGAAGACCGAAGCACAAATCCAAAAAGGCGTTTATTCTCCTGGTGTGTAGCGTACAAGACTATACTTGGCAAAGGAAACTGCCAAAAAAGGATGAAATAATGGGAATTTAAAGTTTGGTCTATACATCTTTGAATACCAGATATCGATATACTGTAGCTTATTAAAATAACAAAACAAATGGACATGATCAGTAGAAAGAATTTTATTATATCCTGCTCAAATTGCTGGATAATGCTTTTGGCATTGCAGCAAACTGAAACAGGTTATCAAAAACATTCAGTGACCAAACACATGCAGATCTTACAAAAATGTATATTGTGCAGAGAGTAGTGTAGCATTTGCATACAACTAATGTTACAGTGAAGTCTGAGTTCCTGTTTCCTTTCTAAGCATGTGCACGCACACTCTTTTTTAGATACTCAGCTCTCTCATATAAATTCCTTCTGGGACTAAATTTTCAATATATGGTGTCAGTCCAAGGATGGATTGTTTTTGAAAACTATGACCTGAATACGTTCAGGAACTTTGAGTTGTGCGCGCGCATGCGCGCACACACACACACACTTTTTGTATTATGTTCAGTTGACATTTTTGCACTCCCATAATTAAAAAAAGGCTGAAGCTAGAAATTTCAAACTTGGGTTCTTTTCAAAACTTCACAAAAGATGGAAAACAACCCAAGTTTGAAGAAAATAGTTTAAAATTAGTTTTAAATTATGACAATTCAAAGTTAAAATGGTTACACCACAATTTTTTTTTAATTTAGTTTTTTTGGAGTCCTCATACTAAAACAGTTTAGAGCACTGGGCACATGATGAATTGCCTTATGTCACCTTTAACAGCTTACAGCCCTAAGACAGCTCTGCACTTAAGGCCTTAAAGTTCATGAATGCACAGCTGCTTTTAGCATTGAGAAGTTTTACATACTTCATCTATTAAAAAGAGCCCTTAAGACACTTAAGAACACATTTAATTCTCTTTGGCTCTCTAAAAAAGACCCAGAGATCAAATGTAAAGCATTATTGTTCATGCAATACAGACTAAAAAAATTAAGCAAACAAATCAAAAATTAAAAAAATTAAGGTTGTTACTGGAAGGTGAACGTGGACATATTGATATATTTTATGTC